TGTCTTCCTAATCTGTTTGTTTCAAATTCTTCCATTATCGTTATATAGAAGAAGCGACAGCCTCTAATCTAGTAGAATGACACCTAGCCTTTATCGAGAGCTTTGATGTCATTCTGCTTATTTTAATCTTTATACTTGTGTCAGTTACGTTGTTATCTATATTAGTCAAAACAGCCAATTATGGAACCAAGTACAGTGTATACAAATTTAGTTGTTTATATTCAGCAGATCAATTACTTGGAAAAAGAATTTTTTATATCGACTACAGTTTTATCAGAACATAATTATAAACTTGATGAGAGTGTCAGTGCTTAATTATGCTTTAGTGTCAAAAGTAGGAAGCTGAGGAAACGTCGGAATTAGTTCTGATAGAGAATTTTCAGGCTATTTTGACTTTTAGAGTGTGAGCAACTTGTCTTTGGCAAAATCTTCATAACTGGGTGACGAATGAAAGGAAATTTATCCAAAAATAACTATACATAAATTCAGTAAGTATATATGGGTGAAGTGATTCCAATAAAATAAGCTACAGTTACTCTAAACACCAACTTGCTTAGTTACGTAGTCGCACTGCATTGCACGAGTGGTTTCAATATCCCCGCATGGGCGTTACATCTTCCATTAGACATTCGTAGAAAAATGATCTGTCTCATTGAATCGTTTCCAATGATTGTTATCTAGAACTCAATTTTGTTCTCCTATCGTTGCCATAGAGTTTCTTTATTCATTTCGCTAGTCAAATAATATCTTAAATGATACTTCGAACGATCTTTGTTGGTCATAGCAGAAAGAACAAAACTTTAGGCAAACAACAGCAGTGAATTCCACTTGTTAATCATTGTGGATTCTCTTAAAACTAAAAATCAGCACCCGATAAGATGCAACTTTGCTCATGTCAATAAATTATTATCCACGAATTTTGGGGAAAAAAACCCTTGAAGTCTGTTCCTGCAGGAACCCCGTTTCTAGATCAGGAAATTTGTCGATAAGATCAGATGTAATGATTGTCAGTTGGTAAAATCCAGTATGTATAGGTAGAGTATGGGGAGCTTTTGGCCTCCCTATTTAACCTCTACAACGTCGTAAGATTTGTGCATAGCTGCACAGACCGTTATGCGGAAGTTGAAGCTTGGCTATAAAACCTCGG